TCCACGTCAAAAACGGATGACAATATCGAAACAATCGGTAATCTGGTTCGATCTGACCGTCGGTTAAGTATTCGTGCGATTGCTGAAACTGTAGGAATTGACAAAGAATGTGTACGGCAAATTTTACATAACAATTTTAACATGAAAAAAGTGTGTGCCAAAATGGTGCCTAAAATTCTCACGTTTGAACAACAAGAAGCTCGCAAAAATCTTTCTACTGACACTTTGAATGCCATTGAAAATGACCCAAACTTATTGGAAAGGATAATAACATGTGACGAATCGTGGTTTTTTACTTATGATCCCGAAACGAAGCGCCAATCCATGCACTGGAAGAGCCCAACTTCATCGAGAGCCAAAAAAGCTCGAATGAGCAAATCAAAATTCAAAGCAATGATGATTGTTTTTTTCGATATTCATGGGATTGTGTACCTTCACTGGGTTCCTGAAGGTCAAACTATTAATCAACATTACTACCTTCACGTTCTTGCTGAACTCCGTGAAAGAATAAAGAAAAAACGACCCGAATTGTGGAAAGACAAGTCATGGGTTCTCCACCAAGACAATGCGCCGGCTCATTCCACATTGTCTGTCAAGAGGTTTCTAGCCAAGTACAGCATCCCAGTATTAGACCATCCGCCTTATTCGCCGGATCTTACACCGTGCGACTTCTATCTGTTTCCTAAGGTGAAATCTGCATTAAAAGGAACAAGATTTGAGTCCATTGAAGCTGTGAAAGAGAAAGCGGCACGCGTCCTGAAGGAGCTGACAGAAGAAGACTTCCAGCATTGTTTCAAACAATGGAAGATTCGCATGGAGCGTTGTAGGGATAGAGGAGAGGTGTATATTGAAGGTGATAATAAGTAAATATGTATGAAATCAAAATAAAATGTTTTACAGAGCATCAGTCTCGTTATTTAATAGCCACACCTATATAAGTTAAAATATATTTCAATATCAAATATATTCGTTTTGTTATTTCATTATCAAATATACTTATTTGTTTTGTAGATGATTATTGCCTCCGACGACACACGACATATACCGCAACAAAATTCTAATAGGGAATCGTGGCAGTGGCATAATGTTCCACCAGGGCACCAATGGCAGCATCATCAACATGGAAATCATTGGACCAAACCAATCATTATCATTCAAGAAACTCCGAACACTGATAAAAATTATACACCACTTCCGACAACATCGGAAACTCATAACAACGTTGATGAACAAACGAATTCTCCACCTTATCATGGTGGAGAAGGTTCTATCGATATTAGACTCGGGTCAACAGAATAATCTATTTTTATACTTATTATTTAATTAAATCGACATATATATATGTACATTATGCATGCTATATACTTATATATACACACACACACACACACACACACACACACACACACACACACACACACACACACACACACACACACACACACACACACACACACAATATAATGCATATAATTAAATAGTATGATTATTTAATTTTTTATGAATTTCTTGTTTCTTGTTTATATTTAAATAATGTCATAATTATCGATTTTCTACAGAAGACACGTGTGTTATAAATTAATTTTTAATGTTAAAATAAATCAGTTGTTAAAAAAACGTTAATAAATATTAGAAAAACATAATATTAAGATTATAATTTGTTGTAATTATAGCTTATTGTAATTAAAATTATAGCTTATTGTAATTAGCCTTAACATGTGGATAAGAAAAAACATGTTTATACATATGTATACATAAAGACCCGTACTCAAAACGCGCTTTTATCGATAAAAGCGTGCTTTTATCTCTGAAATTCTATAATATGCATGACGTAAAGTATAGTATATTAGTAGTGCGCTAACATCGTTGTAAGCGCGTTCTGAATACAGGCCATATACTTTTTTTTTAATTATGTAGGTCACAGATAGTAACTTTAAGAATTTTGAATAATTATATTTAGACATCTATATTATATGTAAAGAGTATGATAATATTCCATTGTTTGCAATAAGAATTTTTCGACACGTTATTCTATGTATTATACTTTAATCTCGAAACGCAAGTGTAGTAAAGACTGCAGCATAGATTTTTTACATAACACATAATTAATTAAAAAATCAACCAATCAGAATTTTTCATTTTCTTTTTTTCCATAAAATAGAAAACTGATTGGTTAATTTTCTTATACTTTATTATGCGTTATGTAAAGATCTGTACTCCGACCTTGTGCTTAATTCAGACTGGACGCAGCAAGGGTCAAGCAGCGGAGTAGCAACCAATCAGCGAAGCGATATTTACAGTGGCGTGAAAATATCGTCTCGCTGGTTGGTTGCTGCTCCGCTGCTTGACGCTTGCTGCGTTCAGTCTAAGCATTAATCAACTACGATTGTAAATCGGGTCGGCCTGTAATCATTTATACTGTCGATAGTATGATATAAAGCCTATTCTTTTTAACTGAACTTTTACATCAATTCATCTTTCTTCCTTTTCTCTCCAGGAAAAAAGAAGAGAAAGAAAGATGAACTGGTGTAAAAGTTCAGTCAAAAAGAATAGTCTTATTGGCCAGTGCAGTGCTGGGATTTATTTGCACATTTTGGCCAATTTTGGGAGCGTTTATATTGGCCGTAACTGTATGCCGTATACCGTAATCTGTAAGAATTGACTAATTACAGTCAAGTATTCTCCTCTTATTCGACGGTAAAAAGGGAATACTCGAAGGTGATTGGTCAATTTTTACAGATTACCCCGGATAAGTGTTTTAAGCTTTAAGTCATAAGAAATTAACCAATTAATCCGGATCTATTATACAATAAGGTTTTAAGTCTTAAGCCATAAGAAATGGTCGAATCACAGTCGATTATTCTTAGTCCGGATCTACAATAGGTGTTTTAAGCCTTAAGCCGTAAGAAATTGACCAATTACAGTCGGATCTGAGAGGAATAATCGACTGTGATTCGCCCATTTCTATGGCTTTAGGCTTAAAACCCTATTATAGATCCGGGGTAACGCGTAATGCATAGGGCATAAGAGAATCGACCAATTGAAATTTTTCTTTTCCACGGAATGAGAGGAAAGGAAAGATTTTGATTAGTTGATTCGCTTATGCACTATGCGTTATGCGTTATGCAAGAGTCTGTGCTGCGTCCTTGAACTTAATGCCTGGTTTACACGCATTCTACAATAAGCCATTAGTCATAAATCAGAAGTTAGAAGTTGGAAATTGACCAATCATAGTCGTCAATTTCCAGTTTCTAACTTTTGATTTATGATTAATGGCTTATTGTAGAATGGCCATTATACTTCGGTCTTAACCCTAAAATTCAGCCAATGGAATACAGATTTTAGTTAGAATTAATTAAGACTGGCAGCTCTATTGGCTGAATATTTGACTGAAATTTTAGGATTTTAGGGTTAAGATCGAAGCACAAATTAGGCATAAGACGATCTTGAATATAAAAACTGATTATGAATACCGGCCTAAATATATAGAAGACGGCTCTTTATTTTGTTACTTTCATTGTAAGGCTCTTTAAGTACTGAGGATATCGCTCTTTTGCATAAATCCGGATTTACAATAGAGTTTTAGGGCGCGTTCACACCTTGACGGAAAAGCAGAAAGCGGAAAAGCATCAGCCAATCAGAACTCGCGCTGGTATTCGACAATTTCGGCTTTTTGTATTACTTATTACCAGCGCGAGTTGTAATTGGCCACTGCTTTTCCGTCAAGGTGTGAACGCGCCCTTAAGCTTTAAGCCGTAAAAAATGAACGAATCATAGTCAATTATTCTCCTCGAATTTGACTGTAATTGATTAATTTTTTATTCTCGGCTTAGGGCCATTGTCACCAAGCTAACTTAACTGGGCCAATTAATCCATCGGAATTGACCAATCTGTCAAGTCTTCAAATAAAATGACAAATGCGATTGGTCAATTCCGATGGACTAACTGGCCTAGTTAGATCAATTGAGCTTGGTGACAGTGGCCCTTAATGCGGGGTCTACACTAGAAGTAGTAGCGGTCGTAGGGTCTTAAGTTGTAGAAAATTGACCAATCACAGTTGATTATTCTTCTCATATTCGACTGTGATGAGTCAATTTTCTACGACTTAAGACCCTACGACTGCTACGACTTCTATTGTAGATCCCGCATAAGGTTTAAAACATCTAGGACGGAATCCATAGATGTTGCTCCAGATTCGAGATGGCTTAAGCTAGTGCATGAACCAATCAGAGAGCCGTATTAGCATCTTGAGACGTTGCTTGAGATTAGTCCGGATCTACAATAGATGTTTTAAGACTCATGCGGGGTCTACAATAGAAGTCGTAGCGGTCGTAGAGTCTTAAGTCGTAGAAAATTAACCAATCACAGTCGAATATGAAAAGAATACTCGACTATGATTGGTCAATTTTCTATGACTTAAGACTCTACGATCGCTACGACTTCTATTATAGACCTCACATTAAGCCGTAAGAAACTGACCAATTACAGTCGAATCCGAGGGGAATAATCGATTGTGATTCGTCCATTTCTTATGACTCAAGGCTTAAAACCCTATTGTAGATCCGAGGTAAGACCGGACTAGTCCAGTGTCCATGATGCTAGAAATCCGTCAAAGATCTCGAATGAAGAAAGAATTGACCAATCGCATTGATCATGTGACTAAATTGTTTAAATGTGATTGGTTAATTCTTTCTCTCTCCGAGATCTCGGACCAATTTCTAGCATCGTGGACAGTGGACACAAGGCTTATGGATTCCATCCCTATTGTAGATCCGGACTAATTGTAGGCATTGCAGAATTTGTACATTAAGCCCAAGACACAATGCGAGGGAATAGCGATAGCGATAGGAATAACATAGTTTCAACCTATCAGAAACTGTGTATTCCGGTGTATCCGATTTCTAATAGATTGAAATCGTGTTGTTCCTATCGCTATCGCTATTCCTTCGCATTGTGTCTTGGGCTTAACAGTGCATAAGTGCATTGCCAGTGATTGCCAGTATTGGATGTATCTTCCAGTATCTTCTATTGGAGTTTTTGGTGCTGGGTCAGTGTTGAACAGTGTTAGTTTATTCCAGTTTATTTTATCCACGAATGCGAAAACATGGCAAGTTCGTCACGGTAAGCTTCACGAAAAATGAATATTACTTTCGGACGAAAATGTAACAATGATCACGAGTCGTGTTTAATATTTACCGATATCGCAATTGAAGTATAAGAAGGTTAAGATTGCATATAATTATACAGTTTTATTTGCTATATAGGGCACACTTTATCAATATAGGAATAAATTAATCGTCATAAAGTTGGTCTGTAATACAAATATAATCTTAATAGTTAAATCAAAATTAACGTGCACGATCGTAAAATTATGTTAAGCTTCGATATAATATTGACAATTAGAAATAAAATCAGGATGAACAATTTATTTGTCCGTTTGTCTTCAATGACATTGGCAGAAACATGCCATAGATCTGTTTGAGCATAAGATTTATCTAAGTAATGCCAAATGTATGAATTATTCTCAAAAGTTAAATATTTATTTTTTAAATTTTCTTATAGGAATGCTACAAACAAGGTTTGTTGTTATGCACATCCAGATGCTCCACTTATAGAAGATTATAGGGCAGGAGATCAGATTTGTTCAGAATGTGGATTAGTTGTGGGAGATAGGTAAAGCAGTCACAGATACAAGTGTAAAGATAGATCTTCAATAAATTTGATACATTCATATATTTTTTATGTATTAACAGAGTGATAGATGTAGGGTCAGAATGGAGGACATTCAGCAATGAAAAATCAGGAGTGGATCCATCGCGTGTTGGTGGCCCAGAAAATCCACTCCTCAATGGTGCAGACTTGTCTACAATGATTGGACCAGGAACAGGAGCCGCGTCTTTTGATGGCTTTGGTACCGCCAAGTATCAAAATCGACGTACAGTTAGTATTCAATTTCTTTTTATTACTTTAAATGATAAAGTAAGTCATTACTAAAAAAATATTTTTTTTTTCAGATGAGTAGTTCTGATAGAACTCTACTTAATGCGTTTCGCGAGATTAATGGTATGGCAGATCGTATCAATTTACCGAAAACTATTGTGGACAGAGCCAATACATTGTTCAAACAAGTGCATGATGGCAAAAATCTGAAAGGTCGTGCAAATGATGCAATTGCTTCCGCGTGTTTGTACATTGCCTGTCGACAGGAAGGAGTGCCACGTACATTTAAAGAGATTTGTGCAGTCAGCAAGATAAGCAAGAAAGAAATTGGTCGATGCTTTAAGTTGATTCTCAAGGCTCTCGAAACCAGTGTGGATCTCATTACGACCGGTGATTTCATGTCTCGATTCTGTTCCAATCTTGGCCTTCCCAATATGGTACAGAGAGCCGCTACACATATCGCTAGAAAAGCCGTGGAAATTGACATTGTACCTGGAAGATCGCCCATCTCTGTCGCTGCTGCAGCAATTTATATGGCATCACAGGTATGCGAAACCATGGTGACATTACAGTCTGTAATTAAACAGGCACTATTGAGTTTATTTTCATACAGTTTTATCTTACACAGGCATCGGAAGATAAGAGATCGCAGAAGGAGATTGGAGACACCGCTGGTGTTGCAGATGTCACAATCCGACAATCATACAAATTGATGTACCCACATGCAAGCCAGCTCTTCCCGGAAGATTTCAGATTTGCCACGCCAATCGATCAGTTACCACAAATGTAAAGCGAAGAAAAAGCTTTACTTTCTTCTTCCGAAATATATTTGACCGTTTCAAAGAAATATTTGTTTTCCATCTCAAGCAATCGAACACACGTATAATTCAATATTTTATTTTTATCAACAGGGTACATTCCTGAATAATTTATATGTTAACATTCTTCTTTTTCTCTTTTTATTTTATTTTATTCAGATATTTTTCGAAGATATAATGGTGCTTAGGTGAAATATGTTTAACGTTCATATTCTATTATATTTTATATTTTATAAATATTATATCATGTGATTTATACTTCTACGCAGTAGAGCAACTCAACTCTTTCTGTTATTTCCTTCTGTTTTTATAATTTGTAGCACATTTGTGAGAAGCTCCATTCAGTTCTGCACTTGAAACAATTATTTTTTTTTCTGTCTCAATTGCACTATTAGAAAACAAATTCTTATAAAAGGGCCTTACGTTATTTGAAATACATGCATATATATAAGATAGATATATAAGTTTATAGTTGATATAATTGTATAATTAATATAGTTGTATAATTAATCGTAGTTATATATTAATTATATAAATATACAATTTTCTATAAATTGTATAATTTTTTATGTATATATAATTAATATATGAACTTAATTAATATTTATAACACCTATATTAACATAAAAGTTTAGAAAAGATATTTAAGGGAATCTATACAAAAGAAGGGAACATAAACCTGTATACGTATGCGTGATAATGTGCTAAATTCTACATTTTCTACAAAATTCTTATCTCTTTGATAAACTTGGTCCAATATTATTGATAATCGGAAATTATTTTTTGCAGAAACGCAATTGTAAGTTCCATCGCAATTAAGAACTGAAATATTGTACAATAAAAATTGTATAAAATTTATTCTGTGATATTTGAAAATGAAAGGAGGAGTAACGCTATCGCAAGTGTCTATAATTCTCCAATTTATATCCATGCGTGATATTTTTTAACATATTAAAGTATACCAGCCGATTACGTGTTGCATTACGTATTAATCCCTTTGTTCTTAAGATAATAATAAGTTTAAATTTAATTATTGGCTTCCAAGATACTTACTATTTTTTATAGATAAGCAATTTTTTTATAAAATAATTCTAGAAATTAGATTCGATCTTTATTACTCCTCCAACAGGCATTTCTTTCCAATTAATAAATTCTTTATGAAAATATTTTGCAATCATGCAAACCTATTCTAATTGTCGATAGAAAACACAAATATACGTAACACATTTCTTTGACACATGAACTGTATTTCTTTGCTGCGGGAAATTATAAATGTAAAGTACAAAAAATGTAACTGGAGACAGATTATCATTTTCCACTTTGTTCCTCATTTTTTTCCTCTTAAAATCTATTTCAAAGCATAACTGAAATGATAGTTTTACATGTGATTTCGCTCGGGAAATCCGTTGCGTGCTTGTTAAGCTTATTTTAATATCTAAATAAAAGTTTGTTCACGCGCTTTTTGTCCTCCATGTGACATTTTGACTGCGTTCACGCATGATGCGCATGATGCATCTTTTATTCTTGTTATTCATCGAATGTTAAATAAGGATAAATGATACATTATGCACATCATGCGTGAAACGGAACGCAGCCTTTATTTTCATGTAGTCACGTGACGTGGCAAGTATGAGTTTATGAGCTAGAGGGACAGAGAAGCGCGAGGGGAGACTTTTGTTTACGTTGGGGTGAAGGAGGTGACTTTTGAAGTAAAGAAAAATTTAGAACAGAGAAGTTGTCTTGTGTACAAAATAATTTAAAATCTGACATGATTAAATTATAATAATTAATAGGAGGGAACCTGCAAAGGAAAAGTTGTAATAAAAAATTCATGTTTCAACTTTCTATTTAAAATAAATTAAAAATCTTCTAATTCAAGTGGACTGGGGTAGGTTTTTCGGCTGTATTTTTCTCATTTACATCCATCCATACATATTATATATTTCCAAGAGAAAAGAGTTACATTAAGAAGAGTTAACCTTAATCTCAAAATACAAGTCTTTTTGGTTAGAATAATAATTATAAAAAAATGAAGTTAATAAATCTAAAGTATTTAATATATACAAATATTTAATGCTGCTCTAGTAAAGTATATATAAAGTTTTATATTGGTAAGTAACAATTTTTCGTTTTATAGTTCTTTGTTATAATTATAAAATGAATATAACGCCTCCCATCAAACCACCGCGAGGGATTAAACCGACAAAAGAAACGGCAAGCAAATCTTATAATTATGAAAAACCTCTCTTATTTTGAATTATATCAGAATAAGATGTCTTGCATAACTTATAGAGTGGTTTGCTGATCTCTGTCATCCGTGCTTTATCAGCAAGTGAAACAAACGAGCAACGTGAGATTGAGAAAGCCAAATTGGAAAAGGAATACAAACGAAGTGATCAACGATTGGAAGAATTGGTTTCGTCACATGATCAGGATCTCATGGAAGTTATGCAGGTATGTATGGACATGTATATTGGAATTTAACAAGAAACTTGTAACTTATTGTATGTATATAATGTGTTTTATATTTTTTTAGATATTTAGTGCACTATCTGAAAAAGTTACATCAGCGCGAGAAAAGATTCATTCAGTAAAGGAGAATCTGAATGCCTGCAAACAATTATTGAGATGCAAACGAGAGGAGTTATTGAATTTGTGGCTGGAAGGAATAGAACATAAACAAGTCTTATATCTTCTAAAAGATGTGTAAGTTATACTTACATATCGCTGTGTTGACAGAAAAGCGATACTTCAAAATTAGCAACTTTTCAGTAGATTGTTTAAGAAATTCTGAATATATATTTGAAATATAAATCAATACATATTTGAGATTTTAAAAATATATTTTCAATTGTTAATTGAATATAAATTAATTTTTTTAGGACTTCAGATTCATATGGACGTATGATAACAAGTTTAACCGAGCCTGAGCTATTACCATCCAATCTATCACATGATACTTTAACAGATCAACAATCATAAATCTCATTATTTTGTATATGTATAAAAGTAGTTTTACAAGTAATATATAAATATATACATATATATAATATAAAGAATTATAAATTTATAGTTTTAAATATACATTAAATAAATGTAGAATTATAAAACAATTTTTAAGTACAATTTTTTGTATTATGTAAATTAAAAGAAATTTTATGTACATTACGTTATAGTTAATAAAGTTATAATTCATATTTGATCCCATATTATTCAATAGCAACAAAATATATTTGAGAATTAAAATTTTCGCTTGAAGTTTGATGTAAAACTAATATTTAAAAAATTTTTTAATTATAATTTTTGAAATTTTAAATATTTCTTAATATTTTCCTAATATATTATGCAAATTTTTAAGAATTTAAATATTTACGTTTTACAGAGATATTTGCATTATTTTATATATTCTTACAATTCTTGGAATTTCAGTTAATGTTTATTTTATTATATTTTTCTGATATGTTGCATGTTTTGAGAATTTAAATTTTCGCGATTTACAAAATCGATTAAAACGTACGACTTGAAGTTAATAATTAGTTACTGTCAATAAGGTCACCAGCTTCTTTATCGACCGTAAAAACAATATTAGAATTATAAATTTAGAATCTCTAAAAATTTAAATAAATAATTTCAAAAATTTAATAATAAGTATTAAGAGAACATAATATCTATTGTGATATGAATTAATAGTTACTGAGTATCGTTAAAGCACACTTTACAATATCTTTAAAATTACAAAAGTTATTATATTGTTTATAACAGACATAAATAATAATACATGTAGTCCAACAGTCATAATGTATGAATATTTAGATATGACGCTGTATGTATATCTAATTATAATGTAACTTCACATATAAAATGAAGCATCCAACATTCAAGTTCAACACTAACGAAGTATCAATGCCATAGAAAGGTGGCGTTTCTGCTATTTTCGTAAATTCCGAATCAGCTGATAACGTATGACGCGAATGTCCAAAGGACGATCGTGAATCGCGACATACATATGACTCCAAGTGAATTTCGACCATTCCAATTTCTTCTGTGCCATGAGCGGTGCTAGCAGGACGTGTGTCCTTTGACAAACAGTTTTTTAATTATTTCGTTTTCTTTATATGTCGGGTGATTAATTATTTTGTACAAAAAGATACGTGTGATCGATATAGCACGATTAATATAGACGCGATATTTAACAAGTTTAATCAATTTAATTAAAAATGACCAGCCAAAAGACAGTACCGAACGGTATAAAGTTCCTCATTGGTGGGACATCTGGGTTTGTGTTCTTTTTATGTTTATTTTTGACGTGTGACATCTAGGAATAAATGCGACAATCTTAGAAAATATGTTTGTTACATTGTTTGATAATTATAAGAGAATTTCGTAATCATTAAGCTGGAGTTCAAAGGTCAAGATTACGTTTTATCAAAATTACTTCTTGCGAATTACATAACTGACATTGATAGTAATTAAAAACAGAAGATAAAAATTGAATTTGAATTTTTCATGATGATGCAATCAGCTGTTTATACATATTATACATGTATATATCTTATTAGCATACTATAAATAGAGTTGTAACCCTGGATAAATTAATATAGCTTCTCTTATAACCGATAGCTCTATTAAAATCTTAATTTTTAATAATTTATAAAAAATTGTACAAAAAATAATATATCTGTATTATATTAATCTTATTATTTCAATTTTTCACATATTTCAATTATTTTATAAATTAACTGACTTTATTTAATTTTTAGAAAATAAGAATATTAATGTGGTTTAATTTTCTTTAAATTTATACAATAATAAAATTTTATCAAAATATATTCTGATTGTTAATTTTTATTAAATATTAACTCGTATATGTATTATAAAATTTAATTGCTTAGACCAGAGAAGGTGTAATTTCATCACAATTGCGTGTAATGCATTAAGACAGTACGATCTGTGATAATTACACGTAAACATTCATTAATTGGGTCGTTTGAGTGTCAAAGCAGATCTTTTGTACTAATTGTGAGAGAAATTTATTATATTCAGGTTGTTTTGAAAAAGCAGAATAAAGAGAAGAAAGAGAAAGAGAGAGAGTTGTCTGATAAATTATCTATTAAAAATTATCCAATAAATTTGGAATTTATATTTTTATTTAAGAGATAATATCAATAAAGGACATATATATATATTTAATTACAGTATGGCAGCAACATGTTTTGTACAACCTTTGGATTTAATAAAAAATCGCATGCAATTAAGTGGTACAAAAACATCGACGTTAAGTGTTACATCATCAATTCTGAAAAATGAAGGTGTTTTAGCATTATATTCAGGCTTATCTGCCGGTTTAATGCGACAGGCCACATATACCACTACTAGACTTGGTATATATACATGGCTTCTGGAAGTTTCTTCGTAAGTTAATAAAAGTTAATTTTGTATATAAGATTTTACATAAGAATTTTATATAAGAAATTTTATATAAGAATCGAAGTGAATTTATATCAAGTATGTTTGCCTCATTTAGAAAAGATACGCAACCAAATTTCATTGTAAAAGCGGTACTTGGTATGGCGGCTGGTTGTGTCGGAGCATTTGTAGGTACACCCGCTGAAGTAGCTTTAATTAGGATGACAGCAGATGGAAGATTATCTATTGGTAAATTTGTAATTTTTTCCATACAATAAGATTATTACTTTGTATATGTTATTAGTTTAGTATACATATCCACGTACATATTATAGAATTTAAACATTTAAAATATTTTAAATGCAGCTGATAGACGCAATTACAAAAATGTGTTCGATGCATTATTCCGTATAATTAAAGAGGAAGGTCTCTTTACGTTATGGCGTGGCGCCATTCCTACTATGGGACGAGCTATGGTTGTAAACGCAGCACAGTTGGCATCATACTCTCAGGCAAAACAAGCATTGCTAGATACAGGTTTGTAGACATATTGCATCGTTATTAGATCCTCTGAAGTTATATCAATGATACTACAATGGTTACATTTGTTTTATATTGTATTTTTTTTCTTTTAAAATAGGATATTTTGAGGAAAATATAGTATTACATTTTGCAAGCTCTATGATTTCTGGTTTAGTCACCACTGCCGCCTCTATGCCTGTAGATATAGCTAAAACAAGGTATTACACGAGTTCATAATATCGTTTAAAATTCAATTAACATTCTTAATATGTGATTCACATGTTTAATGATCTTTCTTTCAGAATTCAAAACATGAAAACAATAAATGGCAAACCAGAATTTACAGGCGCAATTGATGTCCTGACCAAAGTTATAAAGAACGAAGGATTGTTTGCATTGTGGAAAGGATTCTTCCCATATTACGCACGTCTAGGGCCTCATACAGTCTTAACATTCATTTTCCTTGAGCAAATGACTGCTGCTTATAAAACATACTTGTCATAATAATTGCAATTGTATGCGATTGCAAAAAGTTATCAATGATTTAAGGCTTCAAAATCTTGTTTCCTTTTTGCTTCATCAATGCTTTCATATATTTTCAAAAGCATTATTTTAATAACCCATTTTCTAGCATATATATATATATACTGTGGAATATTACGCACATAATTGCAATATCATTTTGTATAAATATATATAGAATTCATAATTTGTCATGTAATAAATATTTTTATAGCGGCTTTTATGAAATTGGTCGGTTCTAAAATGGTTAATTTCTAAAAAGTATATTCTCATATTTTAATTGAAGAATGGCACAAACATAAATTTCCATTTCAATATAAGTATAGTTTATGCATTTTCAATTTTCTGACATACAAAGTACATTTTCTGATATATATGCAATATATTAAGATATTTTGCTATTCTATTGTAGAGAGAGGAAGATATATATTATATTCTGTGAATATGTATGAATATAGAGTTCGTCTGGTACGAACTTGTCTTGTATAGGCATGCCATTTGATTCTCAGCCATTTAGTTGTTATTTTCAATATTATTTTATATAAAATTTGTTTTAATAGATGTATATTTTGGATATTCAAATTATATCTTATATAATAAGAGCCGGTATTGTTACTATATAGATATGAAAATTGAACAAATATACTAAAATAGTGTGCATTAAAGTGTATTTAAAGTAATGTGTTTAAATGTATTAAATATTAATCTAAAAAAAATAATGTCGTACAATAACATTGTATCAATAATATTGTACTAAAATAACAAAGATTTAGTAATAAAAACTATATTTTGATTGTAAGTTTACTACTTTTATTTTTAACAAGAGAAGTTCGACAAATGTAAAATAAAAAAAATCTGAAACTTTGCATGTTTTAATTTTAATATAGATAGATCTATATCACAAAAAATTATTTTAACTGCTGAAATTCGATTTTAGAGGTGTAACATCTTAATTCTTGAATAAAATCGATTTTTACATTTATAAGCGAATCTCGGAAATAATTAGAAATACGAAAAAAATGTTTCCAACAAAAGTTTCATGGTTTCAAAAGTACTTTTGTAACGTGATTAGATTTTTGAAAAATGTTAAATTTTTCAATATACCCCTACTAATTCCTTTTTCTTAAATTAAAAAATTTTTTTTATACACTGATCGAAATCCTATACTGACATTGCAGATAGGCTAACGCAACCAAAAATTGGCTGCTGCAGCCAATTAAAAATGCTATGCCATATTTTACCATCTAATTTGCTGCAGCAGCCAATCTTTTTTTCAGTGTATAAGTGTGCTTTCAGCTTATTTCTCAAAAACATATTTACGGAACACAACTTTATCATATGGCTAAAATATTTAGCGTAAAATAAACTATTTTAATTGCAAAAAAATTTTTAAATTAGGTCCATTTATTCCAATTCATACAAAGTTTCAAATTATTTTTTATTTTACACTTGTCGAACTTCTCTTGTAAGTAAGATAAAACAAAGTATTTTATCAAGAAAACTTTGAGGATTAAAAATAAAACATTTAATAT